ATTATTATAACTTGCACGTCTCACATATAAAACTCTTTCAACTCAATCCACATAACATAACACATTTTCAAATCTTTATTAAAGAAAACAAAGAAAATATTGATAGATCAAACATTCACGGGCTTCCTTGCCACATGCTAATTTGAAAAAGGGAAAATAATGTAAGGTGAGCATCAACAGCTCAGTAGAGTAACTCAATTTCCAAGCAAACGAGTTGAAGATAGTATAGTTTAGCATGATTGGGAAAAAAATCCAAACGAGCATTTGATACATATATGTCGACAACAACATCATTTCATGTGAAACTATAATAGTTAAATAAAATTGTAAAAGAGAGTTCAGGAATTCAAGTACAGTGCTACACTGGTGGCCAATTCATCCTATAGACCAAAAAAAAAAATCCTAATAGATCACTAAGGGTCCATACGAGCATACGATCCAACCTTTTGGGGGACTTCCACCCCAATGAAGATACGCTCCCTAATAACAATTCAGTACTCAATGAGTACCCTCTATGACCTCAAACTGGAATGTAAACCCTTTTTCCACTTGACCCACGTGCACTTATATTTTCATAAAAAGGATCCCCGAGTTTCATTCAATACGAGCAATTCAAGCAATACTATCATTTCCAAAACATTAGTGCAAACCGCACTTAGAAACCCTGCTTCCAGGTCCGGATCCAAGTCAATATTCAAAACACCTAATAAGATATTTCAAAACATGCTAAAGCATCATAAATAAATTATGGAATAATTTAGAAACAAGTTAGAAAAGCATCACCTGTTTCAGAATTGAGAAACCCTACCCGCTCAATATTTTGATCTGAAATACCACAACATTAAACAGTGTTATTTTTTGATGAAATTTAATACACATACTTAATTAACCTACCTAAGAATAAATATAACATTTATTTTCTTAAAATCACTCAAAAACTAGGTCAAATTGACCCCGGAGGGCAAAATAGTCATTTTATTCCTCATTTTGATCCGACTGTTGGATCGACTTAAATTTTATCGGGACCTCCACATGGACGTTACGAAACTTTTGAAACCAACCAGAGGTTGATCGGAGTTCGTACAAGGCCAAAATTGCCGTCAGAGTCTACTGGTGTCCCCCGCCCCACTTAATCTTCAACCTTTTGTTGTTTGACTTTTTCCCTAAGTGCAGAAGTTTCTCACTATAGTACATCATCTCCTTTGATTTCAACATCCACATACTCTTTGGATAACCTAGTTTCAATCCCCCGTAGACTCAACCTTTGAATTGAATTCTAACGTCATCAAATAATTGGTCAAAGTTGACCAAAAACCATATTTTTTTAACACAAGGGCAGACCTGAAACTATCCTTTTCACCCCCAAAATGACCTCTAAATCCAATACAAAGGCTAGAAATGGATTCTTTGACCCAAAATTAGCTAGACCCAAGCCTCCTTTCAAAGCTTAAACAAGTTTATATCAAAATCACATTTTCACTTCTTCACCAAAATTAGCTAGACCCAAGCCTCCTCATGCCACTGTTACACCACCACACACCACGGAAAACCACAACACCACCACTAAACAACTCCTCAAGACCCCCCAAACTCAACCATACCAAACAATTAACCCAAATCATGCTCAAATCTCAAGCCCGTTTCCTAATCCAAAAGCCCACTAAACTTTAAAATACAAATTCATGCATTAATACCAAACCAAATCAAAATCTAAATACATAAATGAGTTCCTAAAATCCATATTAGGCCATGAGTATACCTCTTAGTGTTCGAAGTTGTCTCTACAAGAATCCAAAATTTCAAAGTCTATACTTTCTCTCTCTAACTTCTCTTTCTCCTCTCTCTCTTCCCACCAAATTTTTCTCCATTTTATCCCCCCAAGCAGCTCACTCATCTTTCCCCAAGTAGTTGGGTGTCCTCTATGCAACCTAACAATCCTCCATTAGCCACCTTGCATGTGTAGAAGACCCTTGAAGCTTCAATGGCATTTTGGTAAATGCCCAATTTTGTCTAATTTTGAAAATTAAATAAAAATAATATTTTTTTCACAATTACATATATATTAAATCAACCACTATAAAATTATCTATTAAATTTTTGGACATCGAATTGATCTCCAATTTGATCTGCTAATGCAACTCCTACATTCTTAATTTACTTATACGCACTAATTCTACTTTGTCCATTTGTGCTTCCCGATTCATTTCTTTTTCCCCAACCACATTCCTATACCTAGCAAACCTCCTAACCATCTCCAGAACATCTATGCACCGCACTAGAGTCATCAATTTACAATCCACCTATCCATACTCTGAACCCCTAACCGCACACACCCAATGATTTCTAATTACCGAAACTCGGGTTATTAGACATGCATTTGACCTATCAGGAATGGAAATAAAGGAATTATATGAAGAAGTATAACCAAGCATGTGATGTGCAGCTTGGCAAAAGAGAGTTTCATTGAAAGACCACACTTTCTTGAGGCCTTCCATGTTGACAGATCATTTCGTTTTCGCCTCATCTCCTTCTCAACATCAGAGAAAAAAAATCATTGAAAGATCACACTTGCAAAATCCTTTTTTCTAAAAAGAATAGAAGAAAAAACATCTCAAAGGAATACTTTGAGCAACACTCTCATACGGGCATTAGTAGTCATGCACTTCCCTAGCCTTATGATCCCAGTTCCTGGAAACAAATACTACATCCTTATCATGGTTCTTCTCGGAATCAGGAAGGTGAGTAGCAAGGTAGCGACTCTTGTTCCTAACTGCCAAATTGTAGTTATCGTCGCTAGCAGACTTGACGATATAACAATACAAGAAGGTGTCCTAGAGACCAAGGTTAGTGCCAAACAAATTATTTAAGGCTATAATCCCCATCACTATTCGGAAGACATTTGGGAAACATTACAAGGAGCAGAGTCTAAAAGAATAATGAACCCTGAGAAGAAGGGGATGAAGAGGAAAATGGACTCCACCCTCAGTGATGGAGATCGTATAGAAAAGGATAGACTCCCTAGATTCTATAAGGGCCTCATTGGCCTTAAGAAACCTCTACATCATTTGGAATACTATAGGTGGGGTTTAAATTATGAATGTCCTCTGTTATAAAAGGAGCCATGGAAGAAATAGAGTTGTAGGAAAGACGAAGTTACAAAAAAAAGGTGAGAACTTAGGAGATGCCAATAGAGAAGACGAGAAGAAAAAAAAGGGAAAACCTTTAAAAAGGTGAGAAAGGGCGCCGATGGAAGTGATACCTACAGGGATACCCATATAAACCTGTGTGGGGATGGATGTGAGGGTGATGCCCATCCTGCCCCACCCTCGCTAAACCTGGTATATATATAATCAAAACGCCAAGAGAGGCATACATATATATCTTTATTATTGTTGTTGTTTTTACTCAATTAAGCAAGGATTATGTTGTTGACTTATTTATTTGTTTATGGTTTTGATCACATCATGTGATACAAGCATATAGTGATACAAATTGTACTTTACTTGTTGTTTTTTTTTATTTTTTTCTTAAAATCACATAAATTAATTATAATAGGCAGGCATGGAGGTTGGGGTAGGGTATGGTGGGGGTGGGGGCAGGGACAGAGGTGAAGGCGGGGATAGGTGGTGGGGGTGGGGATCAGAATTTACCCACGAGGTGGGGATGGGGAATAAAACTTACCTCGGTAACAGGTAGACCGTGGGTGAACATACTTTTTTTTAAGTAGGTATGGGAGTGGAGACTACTCCCGCCACCCTTGCCGTGATTCACTGCCATTCCTAATCTAGACTAAATTTTCTATCGTCGTCATTGCGCATAAATAAAAGAGAATAAATTAAATGTTTGGTTTGTTAAGTGTTACTAGTTAAATTTGTTTACTAGCTAATGTCCGTACCTGAAGATATTGTACTATGAAACTTGCACATTGCACGGATTGGTAGCATTTAACTACCTACATGAAATAGTATGTTGGCATTAGCACATGAAATACAGTAAAATAACACATTTTCAACTATGTACAAGCCTATTCCTGTACCATCCATACAATATTTTATAGATAAAGGTGGTCTTTGGTGATAAACCATATTGGAGTTTGACCTAAACTATCTTTAGTTATGTTATTTGTTTTTTAGTTAATTTAAATTAGATATCCTAGCCTCATAGGATTAGCTCACATGAAATTATTATTATATTAGAAGTCTAATATGATTAGGAGTCAATTTATTTGGTCCGTATTATTGTAATGGCAGAACCTTTGACATAGTAAGGATGACTTTTGGTTTTTGACATATTATTCTGCTTTCTTTTTCTTCTTCAGTTCTTTTGTTTCTTGATTTGACTTATAATTTTCTTGATTAATTATTTTGTGTGTGCGAAATATTTGAGTTCTTAATATTATTTTAAGATCCTACAGACCATTCACGTACAAAAGTTCCCCTCACAAGACAACTGTTGCAGATAAATATATGGGGGGTCAAACCTATTGACACACTATAGTCCTTCAAGTTCTGCACATATATAGGTGTGGTTTATGAGAGTAAGGGGGTCATGGCCCCTTTGGCCATAGGTTAGCTCTGCCCCTGCATACAACCACATCATCATCCATAAAACACAATTAGCACCCAAATTCTAAATTTGAAAAATAACCATAACAACCCGAACACCATAACAAATAAGAAAAACTAAAACAACGCTAGGCGTAAGAAAATAATAAATGAAATAACAGTAAAGCATGATTCTGAGTATAATTTTTTGTGATTAATTTTTAAATTTTTTTATCAATAATAAGATAATTATATTAAATTATGTCCTAGTTAAAATTTCAAATTAAGTCCAGTTTTATTTATGTAGATTTCCCTTTGCAACTCACTCATTGTAGGGTCGTCTATCTTTTGAAAATAAAGGCATAGTGCTTCCACCCTCATTTGCTATTTTGATGTTCAAAATAGCTCATTCGAGGTGAAAATTAAAGAGACAAAAGAGAGTTAAAGACTTACGAGATGGAGAAGGAAAAGAAGGGCTATGGTGCATATGTATTGGTTGTTCCATTTCCAAGCCCTGGCCACATAAACCCCCTGCTCCAACTTTGCAAGCGTCTGGTCTCCAAAGGGCTCAAGGCCACTCTCGCTGTCACCAAATCCATCTCCAAAACCATGAATCCACAATCCGACACAGTCCACGTTGACACAATCTCAGATGGGTATGCCAAAGGAGGGTTCTATTGGAATCCACTAGATCATATTTAACATGTGTAGCTAATTTGTCTCTGTGCTGCTAATTTGTTGCCTTTGTTTATGTGGTCAAACGTATAGCACTAACAACTAGTAGTTTTCTTTTTCTGATGTAATTATATGAGTCCCAATTGTTACAGGATCTGACTTCCTATTCTGTAGAAAATCAATCCACATATTTATGGGATTAGATTTACTTATTGTATTGTATATATACATAACATACGTTCAGTGAATAAACAAGAAAAAATTTCAGCAACTCTTCATTTGGTATCTGAGCACACCATACGCTCTATAATTTTTTTTTCTTTCCTCCTATTTGTCTCTCTATTTTTGTTTCTTTTCCTTTACATCGTGACAGACAAGGAAAAATCTTCTTCTACAACTACTAAGATTAAGAGTACTGACAATCCTCTTTGTCTCCACCATTCTGATAACCCTGGAGCTGTGTTAGTTTCTAGTCCTCTTACAGGAGAAAATTTTGTCACATTAGGTCGTGCCATGACAAGGACCTTATCTGCCAAAAAAAAATTAGGTTTCATGGATGGTACCGTCCCAAAACCTATTGAGAATTATCCTTTTCTTCCTAGATTGAAGTGAGCCAATAACATGGTCCTTTCTTAGTTGCCAAATTCACTCAACAAAGATCTTGCTCCTGACTTGATCCAAAATGTGTACACCCAAGTGCAGGCGGTCAAGTTGTAGTAATAATCTGGTGAAGTCTTGAGTCGAATCCACAGGAAACTATGATTGGTGTTTTGAAGTAAGCAATAATAAAGAGCAAGTAACTTGGAAATTTTGAGTGTTTGGAGTGGTGGGGTTTTCTTGAATAGAATAGAAGATTTTTTCAAGAGTTTTCTAGACAAAATATAAGATTCTTAAAATGTGACAACCACCCTTTAGCTCAAGGATCAGGACATGTAATAGAGTATCCATTTTATTATGTTTGTACTTTATAACTCAATTAACTCCTGTGTCAACAACAAGTTAATCGGAAGATAAATATGGACTGTGAGAATTAAGCACATGATTCTGTTGCCTTTCTAGAAGTTTACAAGAATTGTCTGTGCTGAGACTTAACCCGTCTACAAACAAACAAGTGTTTCTACAAGGCATCCAACCATGGCATTAATCATCTATTCTTTGAATAAAGTGCAATGATGGTGGGGATTGAAAGGTTGTCATGAAGAGCTAGCGGGGGTATTTGCATTGAACCAACGGGTCTTTCTATGCAAGAGTCATCCGTATCATAGATGAAACCCTAGGTTATACAAAGTACCTCAACTTTGCTAGGTACATTCAATCGCCCAATGAACAGGTGGAGTATAAAGCATTAAAGCATGAAGAAATTGCACAAACATAACTTTCAGATAATATTTACATATTCATCACCTCTTACTAAAGAGTGAATGAGGAACTACTCACTTTTCATAGCCTTGGCAAAGCTAGAAAAGTGAGTGCTACTCATCCCTCTAAGTAGAGAAGCTACTAAGTAAAGCAAATTAAACAAAGAGCTTATCTTCAATGAAGAATAAGTGAATCACTTTCCACCCTTCACGGCTTTGGTAAAGCTCTAGAAAAGTGGAAGAGTTTCACTCTTCTAAGAAAGAGGGATGCTCAAGCAATGGAAGTGAAATACATGAACAATAAAAGTAGAATAAAAGCTAGTTGTTTTCGAGGGTTTCCACCACAACCAACAGATGAACTACCTCTCTGGATACTTTGTAAATAAAAGTAAGTACAATTACATGGGGAGTCTAAGCCTGCATCATGGTTGTCATAAGATGAATGTAAAGACTTAGCATAAGTAAATGAAAGACTTCAACTACAAGGGGAGTCTAAGCCTCTATCATGGTTGGTATAAATGTAAAATGAAAACATAAACATGAAATGTTCAAGAAATAGATTACTAAAACACTTTTCACTTTACAAGAACAAAGATTGCTCCCCCTTTTCTCTACAAGAGGAAGAATGTCTTTTAAGCTCCCAACATGGGAGTATTTATAGGCAAGGAAGGGGAGGGGGTAGGAGATAAGAGAGGATAAGTGAATAGTATTTACCGCCCATGAGAATCAACTATTCTGTAGGTAGTCTGCAGAGGATGTTCGAACATGATCTGGCATTCGAACGTTAAATTTGTCTTTGCTTTAAGGACGTTTGAACGTGAGATGACGTTCGAACGTTGTCTGTGTCTTTGCTTTGAGGGCGTTCGAACGCCAGATGGGGTCTAGTTCCTTCCACTTAAGTGGCCTGTGGTCACTGACTTGGTCACTTCCATACGTCTTGAACAACCTTGACTTTATACTCAGCAACTTGGTCTTTAGTCACTCAAGACAACGTTCGAATGTGAAGTGACGTTCGAACATTGTACTCAAGTACTTCTGGTTCTTCTTACTTTACTGTAACATGCCAGGTTCCAGTGGTGTAGTCTTCTCAGGATTCTAGAGGACGTTCGAACGTTATTGGCATTCGAACGTGGTACTCAAGTACCTCAGCATTTTCCCTTTGTTGACTGCAACACGCCATGTCTCAGCAGCTGGTCTTGGCAGGGTTTCAGAGGACATTCGAACGTGGGTTGACGTTCGAACGTTCTTGCTTTGTTCCAACCTTCTGCAATTTTGTTCCCTATTGTGTTAGTGTTACATTCAGGTGTGATTTTTATTGTTCTTGAGCCTTTGTTCACTTTAGGACCTAAAATGTCATTACTTAAACTCCATCAAAGCACAATTAGTCCAAAAAGGCATAGTAAAAATTGTTAACTTTACGCACGAATCACACCCCCCAACCTAAATATTGGTAGTCTCTAGTAATATAATAACAATGAAAGGTAAATCTATTCCTAATGCCTTTTTCGTAAGTCATCCAGTTGCATTTAGCTTTTGCAACAAGTCGTTGAACCCTAGGTTTACCCTAATGGACGAGTGTTGTCTCGTGACGGTTTTTAGTGAAGCTACTCACAAATTTCAGTCGAACAAGTGTGTATGTAAATTGTTGAAAAAAATGAATAAGCATCATGGTCGTTGGGACACTCAACCCTCAATCGTGACTTATCACCTACATTTCTCTTCCATTAGTACTCATTTTATGCAAAAAATTAGCACCTGTCGCGTTAGCATTTGAGATTCTCTGAGTAGTAGGATGGTCATACTGGAAACAAGAATTGGTATATAACAATCATTCCCTTTTTCCACCTTCCATGGATAACTTTGATTACACAAGTCTCTCTAGGAATGCTCTCAGCAAAACAAATCGCTCCGATTATAGTGACGTATCTCTCAAAGGTGGCATGTGATCAGAAGATGGCCAGTCGAAAAATCTCATGCATCATTAGTATAAGAGTGAAGTTTTGAGGAAAATAGACTTAACCTTGACATAATCTCATGCAAGAATATTGATGCAAATAGAGAAATTCTAGTAAACACACCCCACTTGTAGTAGATAATATACATATGCATCACACTTGAGATCACCTAGGGCTTTTTGTAGGTTGTAATGGGGCCAGAGGTCAGTGGTTAATGAAATAACGTCAATGGTGATCAAATGCTATCTTTTTTTATGCAGTGTTGCACACCTCTTTCTAGCTTTCTTGATATTTTGCCTGGGAATGGGATTTCTTTCTTTCATTTGTCCCATTTTTCACTTTCTTGGCAATTCCCTGTCTCACAGTGTCTTTTCTCTTTTGGTTGTTTCCACTGATTTTCCTTGTATTGAACAGTAGTCACCATTGTCTTTACTATTTTCCTTGCCTTTCTGTTATCATATTGGTTTGCAAGAGGGTGCAAGAAATTAGATAGCAAGGTATGGTAAATGTATGCTTTTGTGGCTTTGGTAATTACATGGGCGAAAAAGAATTCATTCATTTAAGGCTCAAGCATGGCTGACTAGGGATATACTTTTGTAAAATAATTAGCTAAGGCTCAAAGTCGATCTAAAGATGACCTAAGATCCTTTCTCAGGTATGTGCATATGTATATATGTATGCAAAAGTTCCCTGTGGGTTATGAAAAATAGATCACTTTGCTTGCATCAATTAAAGCAAGTTTAATGAGATTATTGAAAGAGATCAGAAGTGAAAGAGCTTACTTTGAGTAATTGTTGATATCCTCTCAAAAAGCATTGTAAAGCTCAAGACTTACCATGATTTTCTTTGTCATCTCCACTGATTATGTCTGGTGTTTCAAGGAATGTTAGTTATTTAACGATTCCACTTTCGAGTCTGATCACCTGGTACTTCTAGAATAACAAATACTTATGTACATTTGACAATTTAAGCATAAAGATAGCATCGATGTTCTAAAAAATTGAGGTTTTACGTTGTGGTTGTTAAGTTGAGGTGTCAAACCGATCATGTGCTTAGTCATTTTCACAAGCAATCTTAACATCCACTTGTGTTTCGTTATTAACAAGAATTAGAGTGCTAATCCTATACACGCATTTTAACCAAATAAACGTGATAAACTGAATAATTCATTGCATAAAGGATACTTGTTTACAATAATGTCAATGATGCAATTCATCCATTCAAAACATAACTTCAACTATCCACAATCAACTCAAAAAAGCCTCCTTAAGTACAAGTATCCATAATAATCACAAACAAACATCCACAAGAATTATCAAGGAGATAACTCCTCTACAACAATACAGAAATTTCCCAGAAACTACGCAAAGAAGAAACAACAAACAACAAACAATCAAGAACAAAAATCCACTACTCTCCTTCAAGAACAGAAATAATCAATCCTCTCCTCCGTCTCCATCAGCACCACTAGCTCCACTAGCACCACCACCTTTCAAAAGCCTCAGGATCTCATCCTGCTTAGCTTCAATGCTAAGCATGATGTCCCGTAGAGATCATCGGGTGGTCATGTTGGGGCCTACTTGATCTGGCTGCTCTCTCTCTGTCTCCATCTCTCTTTCTTCTTTGGTGTCCAACTCCTCCTGCACCTCATTGATTCCTTGAGGAGGGGGCATCTCTTGCCTAGCCACCGCGGCGCCACTATGCCCTAGGCTTCTTTTGAACGACCCTTTATTTAGTGACCCCATTGGCTTTTGGATGTCCATTTTCGGCCTCACCCTCACCCTCACCCATTGTCGGTGCATATCTCAATCACAAGTGTGCCAAATGGAAGTGCACTCCTCTTTGC